TGCACAGAAACGGAAAATGATTTGCTAAGTGGTGACATTGAACTCGTGATTGTATCCTCGGAAAGAGTCATGCAAGTGCCTATGTTGATGGTCATTCGACATTGCAAAATTTCGTACTTTTATTATGCCAAAAGCAAGCATACGATGGTGGGTTACTAGTTTTACACGTAATTACTAACTTTAATGATAGAGCTTTATTACTTAATATTGAATCTGGTAAATTACTGTACTTAAAGCTGCCTACATTGGTAAATTACTTATTTGAATAGTAGGTTACTAACTTACAGTTAAAAGGAAAGGTTACTAAATGTGGTTTTATTTTCAACGTAAATTCTTTACTTTGTCGGTAACTCACTAACTTGTAAGCAGACTCGCATCGCTAAGTTACTAATTTCACTGGCAACTAATCTTCTTGAAAGTTTTGCTTTGAGAGGCAAATTTATGAGTAAGTGAATAGCTTCCACTCCATTTGAAGTTGGTGAATTCTCACTTTGCAGGAAACTTACCACCTTATAAGCAGACTTAAGCTGGTCACCAGTTTCAAGTTCACCGGTAATTCACTAATTTCTAAAGAACTCGATAACTTACTGCTGCATTCATTGTCCATAAATTGCTAACATTATCGATAGATCACCATCAACATGCTGGACCAACAAGTCGCTGCTACACGAATTTACCAATGAGATCTAAATTTCACTAATCGTGTTACAATGTTACCACGAACGGAAAATTTGTTCCTTTGTTGAAAAAGGAACATTAGAATTCTCAATAATGATAACCACGATCGTCATATCGCTCACTCTTCCGAACAGAACCATGAGATGTTTCTTGACCTGAACCATAAACTTATCCAGTTCTTGAACAGAATCACCCCATAATGAAATACTTTCCAATGTCGTTTGTCACAGTAACTATTTGTGTAACAGATGCCTTTTAAGCAACATGGTACGTCGAAACTTGAAAGTGCCCTCCTACGATTCATATGCTGCATCATGACATCATTGAATCAACAAGAGTCTGAATTCTCTGCACACATCATTCCGTCTCCTTCAAAAAGTCTCTGCCTTGACATGATTGAGAAGAATTTTAAATTTTGGGGGACATCACATCAAAGAGGCACGAAGGTACGATTGAAATGCAGAGGCGCTTCTGAAGCCATTGCCTTTGCTAAGGGCAAAAAACGACCCATCATGAAGTCCCTGGCTGGTGGATTTCTAGAGAACCTTCCAGATAGTCTCATATCTGAACCATCCACTCCACTCAAACCACTGACACTGCAGTTCAAGAAGAATGACTCAGATCGCGAAAATGTATCCAGTGCGTCTAAGTAGGCTTCATCACCTGAACGAGCGAACCCCTTTTCCTCTGTGGTCTCCTTTTTCTTAGCACCTTCATCGCTTGATTGTGCATTTTCAGAATTTAAAACCATATTTCTCATTTGAGTATGCACGCTCCTAACACCATCGGAGGTTTTTTCAGAATCCTGCTGCTTAACTCTCGCAATCCTCCCAGGTGGAAGTTTCGGGGCAGCAGGAGGGCAATCAGGAGTCTGACTCCGCGATAGGGATTCATTCTTAGGTCTTCCTGGACACTGTTCCCATACAAATGGAACAGTTCCTGGATTCCTTACTGGACCTGATTTTAGCTCTGATTTGTAATGAGGAAGAGGAGGTATTGTGGGCAGTGACTTGTCAGTCCTCCTTTTGTCCTGGCCCTCTGCAGAGGCTACTGTGGATGAGAAGCGCCCCACCGCAAGGAACGGCTGATTGAAATTTAGTTGTGTGTCTTCCATCATATTATCTAATGTCATATATACGTTCCTGCAGAGTATTACCACAGACAAAGATCCAGTAAGATGAATATTCTCATGAAATCATAGGCATAAGTGGTCTCACAGAGTAACTTCGACTCAACATAAACTGTAGTTTTTATGTGAAATAAATGCAAATTTGTGCATCTGTGCAAATGCATGCCAATTATGGTTTTTCGCGTTGGCATGTTTCTGACATTGATTGGTTGGCTCTTTCAAACGAGTTATATATTTTATGCTTTCTAGATTCTCATAGATCTTAGATTATAAAAGTTACCAACCATCAATATCTCATGAAAATTATACATAGTTCTGGCAAAAATAAAAGACAATTTCATTCTTTGTCCAGGAGCATCTAAGACCAATATCTATATCATCGTTTCTTCATTTTTACTTTTACTAGAGGAAATTGCCATCCTAAGGTTCCCACCGAAATAAACAAGCTTACTCTCCCAAACTCCAGTGAATTTCGAGTTCACCATTTTGTTTCCCAACTCCTTTATAACAAGATCTTGCATTCGAAGTTTTAAGACCTGTAACAATAAATTATTGATGAAAAGAAGTTTCAAGACCCAAAAGAAACCGGGGCATCTGTCCAATTTCCTCAGAAACCAAGGTCCCTAAACCCAGGGCCAGAAATTTCACAATTACAAATATCCTCTAAACCTCGTTCAACTGCAACAAAAGCTCAACAAATTTCTTCTCTCATTTTACCAGGTCTAGCAGGGCGGTTTGGATTCGGATTGCTTCTGTTTAGGAGTCCAAATTTCTTCTCTCATTTTTTAAAATACCGTATTCCAAAAGGTAAGGCCGTGGGGGAATGCAATGCAAGGACCCTATCGAATTTTATCCTCCGTTTGCCAATTGAAGACTTATTTTAAGATGTTCTTACCATGTCAAGGGGAGACATGTTCTCCAAGCTGCAAATAGAGTGCGCCCCGATGCTGAGCAGCAAGGGGAAAGCCCCCAGATACTGGAAACTTTCAGTGCAGCCCCCATCTATGTAAAGGGTAGCGTCCTTTATGTGCTCCGAAATCTGCCCAAGCCAAGAGGAAGTATTAAAGAGGCGAACACCGGTATAGGTACAAAGTTGACACCTTTATCAATGGCGGCAACACGACCAGTTCCTCCAATAAACCAACACGAGCAAATGCAAGGTGGGCAAAGCAATCAGCCATTAAGAAAGCTAATTATCTCTCCCCCTCTGAGAGCGCAATCGGCAACTCAAAAATTGAATGGCCAAAAAACAACAAGACCCCCTAAAACGACACCGAAAGGAGCAAGAACAACACGATTCCGCAAGACGACCCATCAGACTAACTCCGCTGAGGGAATCGAGGCAGCATTTGGCGACGTCGACCAGAGCCATGATCACCTCAGTTCGAAGACTATGAAACGCGGTCCCAACGATAAAGTTGGGCTCAACTCGAGAAAGCGATGGACATTAGCAGCGCGAGAGCGATCCAGATCACCTTGGCAACGACGGCGGTCATGGGATCGGCGGAGGTTGAGGAAGAAGACGATTGGAGGGGCTGGCGAAGCAGATCGTCGTTCGTCGCGGTTGGGTTTTGTCCCCCTGAAGAGAGGGAAGCTCGAGGGGCGAGCGGTTCGCGTCGAACCGGCTGAACCGGGGGGCATCGAAAGCGGTTCGAACCGGTCGTTCTGATGACGCTGGATGATGATGTCTTTCCACGACTCCTGAGAATTTCTCGGGAGAAAATAAATCATTATATAGTCTCGTGCCGTATTTACGTTAAACTTGACTTTAATCCAAAAAATTATTTAAATTATCAGTATCATGTGGTTTTCATTCCTTGGAAAAACAATTCAAAAAAAAAAATTAAGTGTCAAGTGGTAGACCAATAAAAAAAAAGGACCATAAAAATCTAACGAAAAATTGCACCGAGAGTCCTAAACGTTTGGGTTTGTGTAATTAAATCCTAAACACTTTAAATCCGGTGTAATTAAGTTCTTTGAAGACCGCTCAGCCCAATTTTTACTGATGTGGCAAGGAGGCATACCGTGTGTAATTTCGATATTATTTTAAGCATATGCGGCACGACACTGGAAGCCATGTCGGATAATAAGTCGATTAGCGAAAAATAAAAATCCAAAAGAAGTGTCGACCAGAGTCCTATTGATAAAGACCATCATGATATTGCGTCGGAAACCCATTCTAGGTTCCGTTGTCGTAAAACCGCAAGCCTAGAAACGGCAATCACTAATGGTGGTAACGGAGGTCGAGGTGCATTCAACGAAATGAATTGTCAATAATTGCTTGACCAATATACTAGGGGTGAGCGCTGGTCCAGGGTCTACCTGAAAACCGGTTCGGATTCGAAATTTTTTGTAACCAGTATCATGCTGGTAGATTCTCGGTTCTGGGTGCCGAACCCACCCCCACCTTGGAAACTAACGATTTAAAACCTATTTTAGAAACCCAAACTCTATTGCTTTCTTATTTCCCAAATCTGCAACCTCTCCTCTCTCGTTTCTCACTCGCCCTCTATACCCTCTGATCTTGAACAGAAAATTTAGCAGAACAAAAGTATGAAGTAACATTTGGACATCATTCTTTTGGAATACTCCATTATAAAAAAAAAAGTTATACAAAACAGAAAAACCGCTCAATTTACCAATAGATCTTATAATCGGACAGGACCAACATATAGGATATTGAAACCGATCCTCGCAAGGTAGGTTCCACGATTGATTCCGCGTCCTAAGTCCGAATTCTACCCATCTTGAAACCCGGTCACTCCTAACCAATATTTACCGTTAACGTAAAAATAATTATGGTAAGTCAACAATATAGTCTTTAGTTTATTTTTTGTCTACTTCGTAGGCAATAGTTGCTCGGATACCATAAAAGGACAAATCTACCATGGTGGACTGGGCACAAAAGACATGCTTATGCTTTTTGACAATCAATCCTGAATTTTACCACTTCAAATTTCACAAGTAATTATTTTAAATACAAACCAAAAGAGACTTAAGAACGAAAGAAGGGAAGAGAAATGGAAGTCCACAAGGATTTTATTTAGCCTCACTAAAAAAAATAAAACAAGAATCATGACGAGAAATAAAAAAATCTCTAGATAAGTAAAATAAAAGAAAATGTTTATCGCGAAAATCTTAAAAATATCTACGTAGAAAACTAAACAGATCATGATAATTGAAAATCTTATTCCTAAAAACCGCCTCTATCAAAACAACCTCCATCAAAACCATAACCTACGCTGAAATCGCCGCCACCGTGGTGGTGTCCACCTCCATCGAAACCACCACCTACGCTAAAATCGCCGCCGCCACCACCGTGGTGGTGTCCGCCTCCATCGAAACCCCCGCCCGTGATAAATCCGTCGCCACCGCCGTGGTGTCCACCGTGACCGCCGATGCCTTGTTGTCCGCCGTCGCCACTGTACCCGCCTCCATTCTGGCCTCCGTGGTGGTGCTGGTGGTGGTGATTGTGGAGGTGGCCGCCATCGCCTCCGTCATGGCCTTGATGATGATGGTCACCTCCACTGCTACCTCCGTCTCCACCAACTACAGCTCCATACATAGAGCCGTACAAGAGAGTATTAGCAATAGCCGAACCATGATGATTACCCCCGCCGCCGGCAGTGTTGCCACCTCCCGATTTGTTTTTGTGGGGAGAGCCAATTACGCCGTTGCCGCCGCCGCCGGTGGTGGTGCCACCTCCCGGTTTGTTTTTGTGGGGAGAGCCAGCTATGCCTTTGCCGTCCCGGCCGGTGGTGCCACCTCCCGGTTTGTTTTTGCGAGGAGAGTCAGATTTGTTGCCGCCATGGCGGCCACAAGAAAAACAGGTTATGAAGCGCGAGATCGAACTCATCTTGATGCCCAAAACTAGAAAGGATTGTGCACCAGAAGCTAATAATATGTGTATTTATATATATTTAGTTCGATCGGATTTCTACTTAAATAGGACTAGACATGATAGGATAAGAACTCTAAGGATTTTGTCATATCCTATCAAACCGTTTGATGAACAGCAAATTTAAATTCGAATATTTTTATATCCTATCATGTCCATGATTCGATAGAAACTACATTTCAATATAAAAAACATATATGCCCCTACATAGTGCACGTAATATAATATCGATCTCATCATCGTAAAAATATCATTCTCATGCACAAGTATACTTGAAAACCTTCACAATTTTTCTGCATACTTTTACTCTATCCATAGTATATAAAGACATTTGAAGCAGCTCCTCGTTCATTTTTCTCTTATCATTGTCCAAATCTTTAGAATGTCCGATGCAACTATCAATCATCTCCATCCTCTTGTTAGATTTGTCCAAATCTTTAGCATGTTTCCGGTGTCCATGGCGGCCGTGATGGTGGTTACCTCCACCACCACCTCCGTCTCCACCATCAACTACATCTCGATACACAGAGCTGTGTCTAATCCATCAAGTCGTCAATAAGAAGAATAATCCAACGATGGAAAACTTGTACTATGCGGACACTGAAGAGGGATAGGGAGCATAGTCGCATGTAGTGCGAAGATTCAATATGATGTAATCATTATGTGTAGGTACATTTACATCTGAACTAAGGTTAAAAATATTTATTTAATCTGTTGAAAAAAATATCCATCCAAATGGTATAATTGGACAAGTTTATTAGATTGCACTTTGCAGTATCATTTGTATGTTGGTCGGGTTTGGGACTCCATTTGCATGTTCCTCACGAGGTTCAAAGAATTTAGCAAATGCTTCAATGGCGCAATGACGCAATGAACGAGAGTGGCTAAGGCAAGGGCCCAACCAATTTCATTCGCATGGTCGAGATTTGTGACGAGAGAGAATGATGTAATAATCTGTACATTATCAAATAAAGAACACAAGACCCCTCTATATATATAATGAAAATAAAATTCGACTTAAGCACGATATATATAAATGGTAATTAAGTTAACCATAAATAGTAATCCCAACGTAATCTAATAGAGACCACGCTATTGCATCACAGTTTACTGGAATGAAACCTTTTTGTTTTTCTCAATTCATGCCTAAAGGGTATATTCAACACCCTCTGCCACCTCCATCGCCCCCGCCGCAGCCACCCCCTCCGCCACAACCACCGCCTCCCCCACAACCGCCCCCTCCGCCGCAGCCACCGCCTCCTCCATGGTGCTCTCCACAGTGCTGGTGGCTGTCGCAGCCGCCATTGCCGTCATTGCCGCCTCCTCCATAGTAGTCGGCGCTGCCTCCATAGTGGCTGCCAACTTGGCCCTCTCTCTTCTTCTTCTTGTGCTGAGGCCCAGATGAGTCATTGCTACAGGAAAAAATAATCGCCGACACGACGATCAAGCACGACAGCACGGCGATCACAGCTGCACATGCTAAGGCGACCTAGTCTCTTGCCATTGATTACCTGGTTATCTCGTGGAGAGAACAGAGGCAAGGACTCAAGTAGGAAGGAGAAGATGATGTTCTGGAGGTGCGGGACCTTCATTTAAATAAGGAAAATGAGAAGAGGACCGCCCTGTCGATCTCAAAAATCGACGGATGGATTTCAAGCTTTCTTCTTTTGGTCTGCAGATTTCAAGCTTTCAACCACACCATTATTCCACACAAACCTGACGACTTGTTTGTCCGGTTGGGAAGAAGATTGAGTTTTTTTTTTTTTTTGAGATTGTCGATCTCAAAACTTTGTAATTCTAATGGATGATGTTTTATGACTCGAATTATACATTACCGATGCAAGAGACTTATGATGATCCCCATACAAAGTATCCATGCTAGCCCCCCGTTCTCAACCTTTTATCCATCCATAAATGAAATAAAACAAGTATCCTCTTCGAAAAAATATGCTATTTCTTCGATAAGTAATATCTTATTAGGTTCAAATTAATTTACAATTCGTGTCGACTATGTAAGGTTTAAACAAAAGAAAAAGGCAATAAAGAAAGATGCGAAATCAAAGATTTGCTTGTATTTCAAATAGTCATAATAGAAAATTTTCGTGAAGAATATCGACTTATGATTTCATTTCCATTAATCTTTTGAAACTTACATGATATTTAGGTTCGATGGAAGAGTGAAAAAAGTTACCATTTGACTTTTGATAGATCTAGAGGAGCAACCCTAATTCAAATTAGCATGTAAAATTCACTAACATGATATAAATTAAATACAAATTGCATCACCAAATCAAAGACACCCCACAAGACATGGCCTGCACTTAGATTTTTGTTGACAGATAATGTGCATCATGCGTTGTCTCTTACTTAGCTTCCTTCCATTGTTGAATCAATTAAGGTTAGCAAATTTTACAGAACATACATTTCGATTCCTCCACAAGTCCAACCGGTTGTCATTGGAAATTTGTGTCTGGTGAAGGTTCTAGGAAATTGCTTGGGATAGAACTTGAAATTCTTTATGTAACAAAACAAATGAATTTGCCAAGAACGGAATAGATGGACGGTTACATACAGATAGATCACAACCATGCACTAGACTCAAATTCTATGTAGTAATTAATGTCTAACCCTAGCACTCGTGCGCTCAGCTGAAGTTTCTCTTTCCTCGAAGGTTCCCACCCTTTTGGGTTTAGTTTCGTCGTCGGAAAGAACATGCGCTTATCTCTGAAGCACCATACCTTTTCTCCCATTTTCTGTGACCTGAGAATAGCCCGTCGTAGTAGTAGAGAGCAAAACGGAGTAGTGGATTGGGTCGTGAAAGCCCAACAAAGCCGATTCTCTCTCACGGAATTGGCTAGTTCAAACCCCCGGCCCTTTAAAGAACTCGTCTACCCATCAACTGCTCGTTTATCTAGCAAACTGTAGACCCATCACGAACACCGATGTTAAAAAACCTGTTGATTAGACAAATGTAAGAACCCGAATTGTTACATATACTGATAAATAAATATTATTTTATGTCTTCAAAGTTTGCCGCTGCCGCCACTATGCCCGCTAAAACCACCACTACCTAAGCAAAAACAGCCAGCATCGGGTGCCAGCGATGTAGATGGAGAGATAAGATTACTACTCGTTTAGGGAAGCAGACCTTCCACCCCTGCGATGCTCCTTTGAGCATCTCAGTAAATCTCTACCATTTACATTACAAAAACGGAGTTGTCATGAAAGATTGAGATTTGTCGAGACACCGAGAAAAATATCATGCGGGATAGAGGATTCCCGTCATATTTTCACACCTTCTACCTAACTTTGAACATTACAAGCAAGTTGCCTCAACTTTCCATCTCAAAGAAATATGTTATCATCTGAAAGTTCGTCCAACTCTAGCAAATTACTAATGATGTTACAACCTGTAATATCATTAGTACGTAAAATTGATTGGCAACTTTCTTGTCCGATCAACTATTTGTAACTTACCGGCAACAGTGATTTTATTATTCTCAAATTTAGTATCCAACGATAGATTTTTCTCAGTCAATAGTATCCAATAGTAGATTAACAAGTGCTTTTAGATTTGATAATCGGGCTCGTCGATTAGTTAGCAATGGTCTTACCATCTCTTTCACAAGTGGATTAGTACGCTGTTTTACAACATCGCAAGTGGGCCCCAGCAATTAATTAGTGACTTATCGATGAAGTAACAATTATACCATCCTTAAATATAGTATCCAAAAGTATAATACCAAGTGCTATGAAATTTTATAATTGGGCTCATCAAGTAGTTTGCGACTTACAAATGAAATTATGATTTGATCACCACAGATCGAGTGGCATACCAAATACCCGAAAATTTTATAAGTGGGCCCCTTCGATTAATTAGTAACTTATCAATGAAAATTCCATGGTACCGTTTTCAAATCTAGCAGCAGATCATCAAGTGCTTTACTATTTTATTAATGGTTGCAGCAAGTTTTTCAAAACTTTGCCTATGAAATAATGATTTCACTACTACCACGCCTAGTGGTAGATTACCAAGTGCTTTGAAATTTTACAAGTGGGTCATTCAAATTAATTAGCAGATTATTCATTCATGTATAATTACATCTAAACTCAGGTTCGAAATTATTGTTTAATTTGTTAAAAACATCCATCCAAACAATAAGTTGGACTGTCTATCAAGTTCCCGCATTAGTCAACCGGATGGGTTTGGGACTCCGTTTACACACTCCTGCTACGTTTATAAAAATCTTGAATCGTAATTTCAAGCGTCAAATTCGATTTTACGGCGAGCTAAACTAAAGGTTGAGCTAAAAGGACAAATCTACCATGGCTGAGTGAGCACAAAGGACATGCTTATGCTCTTTTGATAATCTATCCTGAAATTTACCACTTCAAATTTCGCAAGCAATTATTTTAAATACAAACTAAAAGAGACTTAAGAAAGAAAGAGAAGGGAAGAGAAAAGGAAGTCCACAAGGATTTATTTAGCCTCATTAACAAAAATTAAAACAAGAATCACGAGGAGAAATAAAAAATCTCTAGATAAGTAAAATAAATAGAGATGGTTATCATGAAGATCCTAAAAATATCTAATGTAGAAAACTACACGGATCAAGATAATCGAAAATCTTATTCCGTGGTGTCCGCCTCCATCAAAACTGCCACCTACGCTAAAATCACCGCCACCGTGGTGGCGTCCGCCTCCATCAAAAGCACCATCTACGCTAAAAGCCGCCTCCATCAAAACCACCACCATCAAAACCACCACCTCCATCAAAACCACCACCTGCGCTAGAATCGCCGCCACTGTGGTCGTGTCCGCCTCCATCGAAAACACCGCCTACACTAAAACTGCTGCCTCCGTCGTGTCTGCCGTCACCGCCGATGTCGTATTGTCTGCCGTCACCACTGTACCCGCCTCCATTCTGGCCTCCGTCGTGGTGGTGGTGGTGGTGGTG